GGGGGGGAGGGGGAGGGAGAGAGAGAGAGAGAGAATTCACCGTATTTGGAATTCATCAATTTATCACCGATTAGTTTTTTAAGAACATTGTAAGAACCGTTTTCTCATAAGATGAAAAAATCGAGTTCCGGTGACCCATAACCCCCCTTTGGCCTGTGCCTCGCATGTTACACGCCCGCATTTCATTATTTATTATTTCCTAAACTATAGTACAGCTAGTTAGCATTTTTTTCAATAGGTGGGGACTATTATAAACATCTACAAAAAACATGGGGACAATTTTAAGAAAAACGTTTCAAGCCATAGCTTTTATCGAATTTCAATACAGTTGGACTCATTTTGTTTAGTTAAATATTCTCTATCGATTAACGGAACCATTTTTCGACAAAAAATGGTTTTGCAAATACATTAGTTTGAGTGTGTGTTACAAAAGTAGTATCATTTTTTTTCTAATGAAAAAAGTCCAACTATATTGGAATCGGATCAGTGATGCCGCGAGACGAGACGAGAAATTGCATCTTCTCGTCTCGTTTCGTGTCATCTCGACTCGTCTCGTCTCGCCTAATCTCGTCTCGATAATCCAATTTGCACGGAACAAAATACACAGTGCGGCAGCGAGGGGGAGGCTCTCTCGACTCTTGTTCTCGACCGGCTTTTCTCGTCTCGTCTTGTTTCTGTCATTGTCTCGAACGACTCTTCTCGTCACGTCTCGTCTCGTTTCTCTTACGTCTCGTGGCATCACTAAATCGGATGGAAACCGGGACTTTCAAGAAGGATTAGAACCTAAATTTTTACCAGTATTTGGTATTGTCGACAAAAGTTAATTAATATTCATCAAATTGATTATAATTTTAGTTTCGTTACATTGAAGTAACCCTTGTATATCCCCGAGGAGCTATTCACAGACATAATCGTGGTGTCATTCGCTGCTGTAATAACTTGTAATCCCAGTGAAATCCCTGTAATCACATGATTACCATACTTGCAAATAAGTTTTCGTAATCAAGTGGTCATCATTTTTCAGTAGTTTAATCAATCCTGTAATTTTGGGTAATCGGTTATATTTTGTAATCATGGTGTCACTCAGTTCGACTGTGAATAGCCCCTCATATATCCCAATCAACCGGAAATCACTATTTTTCATATCTACAGAACTCAAAAAGTATAGTTTTTGAATAACACTACGTGAAACCGCTGGGATATCCTTACCCCTCCTTTTACCTAAGCGTAGTAGTAGGGTTTACGGTAGGACTGGCGAGATTGTTCCACTAAGATGAGTGGTGGGAGAAAGGATGTTCGATGTATAACTTACAATTTCTGGTGGAACAATCTCGCCAGTCGTACTTTATATTAAGGAATTTTGCAGAATGGAATGAATAGCTATTCCCCCGTGTGAATGAGAATGGAATGGAACTGAATGTACAGTCGTTGGAATGATTGTAGTTTGTTTTTCCCTCCTGGACGAATGTCAGACTGATTGGATTGCTCTGTTGTTTTAAAAACTTCTGTCATTGAATAAACGTCCCACTTGAGGTACTTCATTCTGGTGTTTCAAGATCATTACAGTATTGTCTAGCTACAGCCCTCCAACTTGTCCTCCAACGGGTGCATCTTTCGACACGTCCTTTAATTCTTCATTTCTTGAGCAGTTATCTTCGACGACAAAACCTAAAAAATTTGACAAAAAATTAGTTGCCCACGAAAAAATTAGCAACTTGAGCGACCCCAAAAACTACTGCCAGGAACAATGATTCATTAACTATATTGCGGAAATTGAGCGGAATTTTACATACAGATTTGGTGTAATAATCATTAATGAATAATCCAGTGACTATCTTTGCTCTACTATCGGTGTTTCTGGCTACTGAAAAATTTCATGGCTCGATTACATGAAAAAAAATCGATACGAAGTCGGTGATTAGGCTTATGTGCGGGCTGCAGCCAGTAAAATATCTTAAACTATGTTATCGAGAATAAGATGTATATAAGTGAACGTCTGTATGAAAGGACCACTTTGGGTCTATTCGCACCGGGACTTCAAGTTACGCCAAGTACGGCCAAGTTCATATCTACTCCGACCCAAGTTTCGGTGGAAACGCAAAGTTGAACTGAACTCCGCGTTTTCACTTAGAATTACGTTGATGCCACAATGAATGCGCCACGGAACATACGCAATGCGAAACAATCGCCTAACAATTCTTCTATTAGTAGTAACAATTGCAAACTTTGCGTGAAGTCCCGGTGTAAATAGCCTCTTTGGAGGTATTGAAGTTATACATTTTCTGTAATCTTGGTTAAATTTCGCATGTTTTTAATGTTCGCTAGAGAAGATCAATATACTAATTTAACATTGGTTTACGGATTTATTGCTTCTTTTCAGCCAATTTTTATGGTTTTTAACGTTTCTGCCTTTTGTGTAATTCAAACTTACAGAAAAGGCAGAAAAATGGTTGAACAGTAATGAAATTTGATCGTTAAACAATGATGAAATATATTTTTTCGTGTCCATTGGATCTGATTGCAAAAAATGTAAAGCAACCGTGAAAATCGGCTAAAAATGCATCTATAAACGAGGGTTACCAAGAGAAAAACATGAATACCTCGAAAACTAGAATCAACTAAGAGGACCCTTTTCATGCAGATGTCCACATATTATCCTCATACAGCCGAAGGGGTGTGAGTGGTGTATCTAAGCATGTTTTACACCCTTTTAGCTCTACGATGACGATATGTGATTGAGTACGTAATTTTAATATGACAGACAGTGGTAAAATGTCGTTTCAGAAGCCCAATGTGGGTTGAAGTGAGATGGCATCCAGGGAAAAGAGACCCTTAGCGCCTTCCTCAAAGTCAAAGCAAAAGGCAAACAATGATCCAGCTCTACCAACCTCATCGAGCAAGACCAAGAAGGCCAAACTGTCCCCCTTCATATTAGAAGCAACAGGTAGCAAGCTGTCTCCTAAACTTGAGGGCTCCCTTCCACGCAAAAAAGTCCTCACAAGTCTCAAATGTAAGAAGAAACTGCGCGCAGTTAAATCGAACTTAATCAAAGGGAAAGCTTCGAAGAACGCTCCTGTGAAGAACTTGAAGCGAATCGCAACCCAAACAACGAACAAAACTACTAAAGCAAACCTCACGCGAATAAAGAAGGCGAGGTCCTCACCCAAACCTCTTGAGGGGGAACTCTCTTCTTCAGATAAAAACGAGCTTTCGACATCTCGAGGCAGTCCAAAGACAACTCGAAAGCTGAAGCTCGGGCCTTGCTCAGACCCTCAAAAAAGTGCCAAACTTACCAGACGTAACCTCCACATCAAAGAGGAAATCGACGAAGACCTGAAGTACCTGAAGAACCGTAAATCTAGCCCCTCAAACGATCAAAAAATTTCGCGTCAAAGACTCGAATCACCATTGTCAAGATCGACGATTGACTCAACAATTGACGACGTGTTAGCGATGGTCAGTGACAGTGAGTTAGATTACTCAGTCTTGCCCTCTGAGGGTAAAGTCACTCGAAGTAAAAGAATGATCGATGATAAATCAGTGCTATTAGAACACGAGATTAAAAAAGAGATCATCGACGAAGATTTTGATGAGGATGAATCGACTTCGAATGATGACCTTCAGACTGCCATAGATATTAAGGAGTCTAAGAGAAAACTGAGTCAAAGAAGCTTGCGGAATGGCAAACTCCGACAACTAGACTCTTCTCAATCCGATGATCTGAAGAAAGGTCGTAGATCAAATGTCGAAGAAATAATGACTTCTGAAACTGTGGAGGACATGACATTAGGCGAACCAGTGGATTCAAGACCCCCAGAAATCACCATTGGCGACATTTCGCTGTCTCTATCTTCAGACTCAAAACTGGCTGACGTAGATTTACCAATTTCCATTGAGTACGAGAATAACAATAATAGTGGCGTTTCTGAGATTGACGGGGGTCCAACGCTGCGATCCAAGACAAAAGCAAAAAGTACAGATTCTCAAATCCGAACTGAGGATGAAGAATTCTACATAATCGAGCCTCTCGATGAGACTAAAAAACCTCATGCCTTTGGTAAGCTCGCAATCGATAAAACTCCTGCAAAACGTCGATCATCCCTCAACATTGATGTTAAAAAGACGATGGGTTCAATGTACGGCAATGAAAAGGCTGACGGAAGCGCCCCAAAATCCCAGATTGATCAAATGATTGAAAACATTAAATTAACAATTGCCAAATCCATTGAGAGCAAAATTTTCGGCCCAGAGAAGGCTCTCGGTCTCACTAAATCCTTCGAGTCTATGAATCCCCCAAAAATCGAGGAGATAATTGTTCCCGTAAGCACCGAGACTCAAAAACTAAATCTAGATCCCCCAGAAATCATTATCGATGATGATCAGCCAAAAGGGTCCAATGGATCTAAGCAAATCTCTCTGCAAAATACTTCTAATAATATTAATAATAGTTGTAATAGTAGTACCAGTAATAATACTGATAATAGTGATGATACGGTGCCCAAGGTGGCAGACACTGCCAAAGAAATTGAAAAACTAGTCATGGGCGATGAAAGTGAAGAAATTAATTTGATTAATAATTCTATCGAGGCTTCGTCTAGCAGAACTGACGATGTACAAGATAATGAGGAAATAGAAAATGAATCTAAAGACTCTAAAGAACAAGCAAAGATCAATGACGTTGAAAAGTCTGAGCAAATAATGACTGAAAGTAAACAAGAACAAGAAGAAGAAGAAAAAGAAGCAAAAACGACTTGTTTTATGGAACACGAAACATTGAATGAGATAGAAAAATCGCTACAAACATCTGAACGATTGGAAAATTCACCGCAGCTTGAGACGATTGAGAGTATCTCCAGGGAACTGGAAAATCTGATTTCTGGATCCCCTTCGATAGAAGTATCACCTAGTGAAGATAAAGAAGAAGGAAATAACGAAACTCATTTCAGCAATGACATTTCTGAGGTTTCCGAACGTGCTGATGAACCTTTAGAGCCAAATCTCAGCTCTCTACCTATCTTTGTTGATGAACCAATAGTAGAACGATCAGATTCGCCTCAAAATACTTCAGAAGTTGTTTCAGCCCCTCCTGAAGACTGTGACTCAGAACCCCTTGAAAATTTTGAACAAATTTCTGAAAATCCAATGCAAACTCTGGAAGTTCCTCCTGAGCCCACCAAATCACCTGAGAACAAACAAGAAGACGGGAAACGAGTCCTTCGCGCTCGAGACAAGCAGAGAAAATCAGAAAAATCTAGAACTTGTGAGATCCCCGATCCTCCGGACCTGAAGGTTAAGACAGAGACAGAAAATCCTCCTACATATTCGAACGAATCTGAAGAGACTGAACGACAAGATTCTCCTCAAATGGGAGAGACAACGGGCTCAATAAAAGTAGAGGAAGAGTATCAAGGAAGGACCAGAAGGAGCAGAGATATAAAAAGACGTCGAGAGGACGTTTTGCTCAGCCAAAGTTCTTGTCAAAAAACCAAGAGGAACCGTAGAGAACCGAAGAAAGCCGAACAAAATAAGGAGGAGACGCTTTTGGATAATGAAGTGGCCAAAATTAATGAGAATAATCGAGAATATTCTTCCGAGAAGTTTAATAAACGTCTAGAGGGAACTGAGAGTCTTCGGATATTTTCTAGGCATGACCGACGTAATAGACCTGAAGAGAATGATCGAAGTAAATCGGAAAATGATATCGAGTCGGTGAAGGAAAAGTCAGAGGGTGTAGAGAGATTACGGGCTGATCGATGTGGGAATGATAGGTTGAAGGCCATTCAGGGAGCAGGGATGCAGGAGACACCTGGGACTGAGATGACTGAGACTGTGCAGAAGGATTGCGATGAGGCTTCCACCTCTGGAGAGTCCACTGGGAGTATCTCCATACCGAAGATACTGGAGACCCCTGAGGAGACAGCGATGAAGGAGAAAATCCTTTTGATGCTGGGGCTTGAGTCGGCGGAGAAGGCTGCGGAGAGGAAGAAGGCGAAGATTGAGCAGTGCACTGGAGGACTCAAGACGGTTATCCGGGTGCCTAAGGACTCCGGGAAAGAGAAAAAAAGATCCAGGTCGCCGCTGAAGATGGTGCTGAAGCAGGGCCGGGTTGATGGCGGTGGGGATTCGCCTGAATTCTATACGATTCAGAAAGAGGTGAGTTTTTTTTCAATTCAGGGAAAAATTACAGAATCAGTGGAAATTGTGCATTTTTAGTAGGAATAAGTCGTTGCAAGCAATGTTTTCCTACTGAAATCACTTCTGAATTAGATAGGGGAGAGTGGGGCAAAATAAAAGAGTCGAAAAATGACTGTTTGATACAATTCAAGCAAAAAAAATGTTTTCTGTTGAATATTTTTTTTATCGACTTATTTTTATTATTGGGAGTACTGATGAGAATAATAATTTTCTCTTCGTCTTATAATTCAATTGATTAGATTAGGCCGATTCCACTTTTCTTTCTTCATTCGATTGAAATTCAGCATCACATTTTCCTTTTTCTCCTTTTGGGTCTCCCCCTGAGCCTACCACTGGACTTTGGATTTTGTTGTTTCATTTTCTTTTCAATTAATCCATTGACAAAACCTTTTACCGTCAAAACTACTCAATAATTTTTCATTCTACTAAACGGAAAATTATTATTCTCATTAGTACTCTCAAGAATTAAAAAAAAATAAACAAATTTGATAAAAAAAATATTTAACAAAAAAATTTTTTTTTTGCTTGAATTGCGTCAAACAATCATTTTTCGACTGCTTCATTTTGCCCCACGCTCCCCTAATTCCAGAGGATACCTTTTTTTTCACATTCACTCGGCTTTTATTGATTAAGGCACCTCCTCAGTTACTGACAAGAATTCCAACCATACATATTGGAAAATCATTACCAAAATTTAAAGTATTTGATGATCTACGCTATATACTTTGAGCATGCATCGTGAAAAATTGAAAAAAGAAAACAAACAAAAAATGAATGAAAATGAAATTTCACTCATTAAATTTTTTTCGAAAATGAAATTGTTTATTTTTTGTTGGATGTAAGAAAAAAAAGTCACTTCCATACCTGCGTGAGAAAATCGGGGAGCGTAATTAATTAATTATGCATCGTGGGTCTTCAATATTGATTCACTTTGATATTTATTTTGTTTGGTTTAAAGCAGCAGTAAGATTTTAAAGGAGAAATGAATAAAGTAGAGAAGAGGAGGAGGAAGAAAGGGAGAGAAGAGAAGATTTCTTCCCCTTTTCTCCTCTCTCTTCTTTTCTTTAATATATATATTGCTCTGTTTTTGGGGCATTATAGAGAAGTATTGGGGTGGAGGAAAGTGGGGGGACCGTCTGAGTATTAGTGACGTGGCGCAGTGGGTGAAGAAATTATTTATTTTTTTGGTATTGTTTCAATTAACAATTTGTTTCTGTTTATTTTACAGCTCGGAACCAGTGCTTTGGGAGATAGCAGCTCTGGTGCGAACCGAAAGTTCTCTACTAACCACAGACAATCTTGCGGTAATCCTGGTTGCGGGCATAACTACATAATTAATTAACATCGAATTCCCTACATCCTAATTCAGTAGCTTATCAGTTGACTTCTTTTTGTATTCAATTTGTGTTTCGACTAATGATTAATTTGAAAATTCCTGCATGAAATCAAAAAATTAACGTTTTTTCTTTTCAGTTTTGGCTTCGGTTTATTAATTTGTTTGTGGTGATATAGATGAGGATCCTGAGGAAACATCATCTAAGGACCGGCAGAGTCTCATTATTCCAGAGAAATCTTCGTCTTTCTCAATACACCCTGGACGTCTTTGTGCAGATGTTTGTTGTTATTGCTTTGGGAAATTCGGGTCACTTGATACACCGATGCACTTGGCGCAAATGAAGTCTGATGAGAGGAGAAGGAAAATTTTGAATGTCGAGAGACATCTCACTAAAGACTCGTGCTTGTGTGATGCTTGTTATCGTCATGTTGACAGAAAAGTAAGTAATTTAAGAATAATATGATTTTCAATTCAGTAGTAAAGTATTAACGGGAAAAAAGTTATTATAAAATCGCTATTAGACTTGTTACCCTTCAGTATTTCGCTACTGAATGAGAATGAGTGGAATTGGATTGGAAAATTAGTCAGTTACAAGCATGTCGCTCGGCATTTCGTTTCACAATCAATCAAAAATGATTGTGACTTGAATTGATTTTATAACAAGGTTTAAATCGGTTTTCATAGAAATTTCTCCGTGAGAGACCTCATTTACTTCCACCTTCGTCAATTACAAAAGAAGTTTCTTGACAGATGTAGGTGATGAAAGCATGCATTTTCAACGACATTAGGAAGCCGATCAAGATATTTTCCTCATACAAAAATATACAACTCTTTAAGTCCAAGTATCTTCTCCACTAATTGGACAAATGAGAAAGTCTACGGACTTTGAAAAAATACGGATTCATTTTGTTTTTGATTTTGTTTGATCTAGTTTTCAAGATGTTCATAGTTTTCTTTTGGTAACTCCCATTTGAAGCAATATTAAATTATTACATCAAGTTGTAGATATATCAAACAATGCTTTCCATTAGTATTTTACTAATTCGAAGAATCCTTCACTTTCCAGGCGAATACAAGTCCGACCAATATATCAAAACCCCAACGACAGCACCGACAGCTGATGGTCTCCAAATGTTCCGCCAGAGATTGCAGAGATTCCGCGAGACATCTCGTGAAACGTCGATGGCTCTTGAAAATAAAATCATGCCTTCAAAATCAGGTAAACACGACAAATAACTGAATGCAAATTATTATTTACTTTATGATTGTGTATTTGTCTGCAGCAATTGCCAATACATAATGGATACTTGAACGGTTATGAAATCTCATCTGAAATAAATATTGAACAAGGAGAGTGGGGCAAAATAAAACAGTCGAAAAATGACGGTTTGACGCAATACAAGCAAAAAAAAAATTTTTGTTAGGGGAGGGTGGGGTAAAATGGACACTTTAGACTTTTTTAAAATTATTCATAACTCAGAAACAAATTGATCAATTGAGCTCAGTTTAGGCTCATCACAAAGGGAAAGAATTGTTCTTTGTATTGAAAAACAAAAATTCCTAAATTTTATCAACATTTCGATCCCTCATTAACATTTTTAAAAAAGTCAAAAGTGTCCGTTTTACCCCAACCTCCCCTAATTTTTTTTTAAGAACTTTTTTTATTATTGGAAGTGCTAGTGAGAATAATAATTCTCTATTCGCCTTATAATTCAATTGATTAGATTAGGCAGCCTTATAATTCAATTGATTAGATCAGGCAGATTCCACTTTTCTTTTTTCATTCGATTGAAATTCAGCATCATATTTTCCTTTTTCCCCCTTTGGGTCTCCCCCTGGGCCTTCCTCTTGACTTTGGATTTTATTGTTTCGTTTTGTTTTCAATCAATCTATTTTAGTTTAATTAATCTAACTTCTCAATAATTTTCCATCCTACTAAATGGAAAATTATTATTCTCATTAGTACTCCCAAGAATAAAAAAAAATGGATAAAAGTTGATAAAAAAAATATTTAACAAAAAAAATTTTTTTGTTTGAATTGTGTTAAACAGTCATTTTTCGACTGTTTCATTTTTCCCCACTCTCTCCTATTCAATTGGTTTTTCATAGTTCTTTGGAATGCTTAATAAACAAATTTCGCATTCTTTTGCTTTAGATTTGTTCTAGCGTTCTCTCCTTTCATTTTCCCCTTTTGGCTCATGAATAAAAAAATTAATTTTCAGGTGGACATCGACTGGGAATCAAGTCAGCATACATCCATGTCTTTCTGCATCGCCCACTATGCGACAATTGAGCGTTTCCTGACTTGTGCCCTCTGCAAGCGTCGCCTAGTCCGTAACCACACTCATCTTCTCCCGGTCAGTGAAGCAGACGAGTTGAATCGTATTCTTCCCCAGCAAGGTGTCCCCATCTTACTCGTATCCGGCACCTTCGTTTGCAAGCTCTGCCGTTACTACACTCAGCTGCAACTAAAATACAAAGACGTGGAAAACATGAATGTGAGTCATCGATCTTTTGCAAAAAGCTATCGAAAAAGAATTCTCTACAACAACAATCTCGACATTGACGACGATGAGGAGGAGCCAGCTCAAAACTTTCAAGCTAAGGATAATAAAGATAAGGAGAAAGAGAAGGAGAAAGAAAAGGAGAAGGAAAAGGAGAAAGATAAAGATCGAAAATCCGTCAAAAAAACAAAGTACCATAATCAATTATCCAAAAACAATTTGTCAAAGTCCCCAGAGAGTAATACCTCATCGGAAAAATCGACTCCCGAGCCTCCAAAAACCGACAATTTAGGTGAGCCTAAACGCCGGGAATCTGAAGTAAGAGGTGATGGGGCTTCATCTATAACCGAACAAATGTTAGATCTAGAAAGTACAGTGGAAAAGTTGAAAAAACGAAAGGCATTGGATCAACACCTCTACTCCACAGACTCTCCAATCTTTTCAGACGACAACACTGTCAATGTCGTGGAGATTCTGGCGATGGATAAAGAGGAAGTCACACTAACTCGATTACCCAAGAAGCCCAAACTGGCTAGTAACCAGAATCAAAATTCCAACGATATAACTCCAGTGGTGCAACGACTGGGAGCAAACCCGTCAATAAGTGTGCGAACATTGTTTCCTGGAGAAGAGGAGATGGGTCTCCATGCTAATGTTGAATTTTCGAATATAAGAGAGATAACACCTCAAGGATGGGAGAAGTGTGCGACAATAATTCAATATGACAGAGACACAAAATTACTCTGGCAAGAGTTACAAAGACCCTATGGCAATCAAAGCTCTTTCCTCAGGCATCTCATCCTTCTGGAAAAGTACTACAGGTCTGGAGACTTGGTTTTAGCTCCCAACGCATCGAGGAACGCTATAAATTACTCGACATCAGTGCAAAATCGATTGATATCATACGAAGGACCAGAAAAGATGGATGAACCAATTACTGAGCCAATTCCCAATGAGTTCCATCACTCGAAAAGGTTCAGTGGAGGCTATCTGATGGAAAGAGATAAAAGTTCCCTACCTGGTAATAGCAGCGTCACCACACCTGTCACTCCAGTTACAATATCAGTGACTCCAACTGTAACAACCCCGTCAAGAATACCCCCTGCTAAAACACTATCAAAATCTAGTCCCTCTAGAATTTTGAAAATCAATCCAGGTGTTTCGATAATCAAGAAACCGCCACCGAATCTTCAACGGCTCAGTTTACCCTCCAGCAGTGGCACTTCTCCAGCTAATGGATCAGCTAAACGCAAAGATGCCTTCCCGAGCAAGATTACTGGCACTGGAACATCTGGAGGAAAGGTCTTTCAACTTAGTGAACCAGATTTTAAAAGACTTCAGACCCTGAAAAAGCAGAAGATGATCAATGAGAAAATCAATACATCCAGCAATACCAAGCTGAGCAATCTCCAGTATCAAAAGGCACAAATCGCTGCTCAGACGCAGTTTCAAAAGCATTTGAGGATGCAACAGGAGATGCTCAGTCGTCAGAGCCGTGGTGATTTTGAACCACTAATTTGTGACGTTAGATCATTGGCTAATGAGAATACTCCTGCACAGAATCTTCTTAATAATTTAAATCTGCCAAAATCTATTCAGGTTACTACTAAACCATCCAACAGCCCTATTCCCATTTTACCAAAAATTCCCAAATCCCTTACTGTTATACCACAGACTATTCCCAGGAATGTGGATAAGTGACGAGTGAGAAGGAGGAGGGGGAGGAAAAGGAGGGCAAGAATAGGATGATGGATATTTTAAACAATTCATTGAATACTCATCGACTCGACATAATGAGAAGAAAGTTGAAATGTTGGAAGATGGGCCACCGTGGTTATCTCATAATTACGTGGTTTGTATTTTTTGAGCCGTTATTATTGGAGGGAAAGACAATTTCTCCGGATTATAAATTGTAAATTATTGGATCTGTAGTTGAGAGATGAAATGAAATAGATTGAATGTCATTTTTTTTCATTATGAAAGGGAGGTACTAAAAAAAAGTCTTTTGATAATTTCATTCAAAATTTATGATAAACATGAAATTTTGGTTTTTTATGCAAATATCTTGGAAAGACGTTGTTTCAGGGAAAATGCCAAAAAAACATTCTGTTATCAATGAGAAGAAGTCACCTGTCATTTTGCCCAAAACCACTTGCTCTTGAGATAATTACATAAATAACAGAACACATTACCATTTCTCTACAGATAACATTATTATGATAACAACTGTGTTAAATGGGTTTCATACCCGATGAATGATACATATGAACAAATAAACAAAAATTATTTGTATGAAGAAAAAAAAATGAATAATTGAAAGTGACAGGAATTAAATGTTGAAAAGTGCCTAATTGTCGCAAAAAATGAGACTCAAGTGGAGTGTATTGACAAATCAGTGAGGACAGAGACGCGGAGCGTTGCTAGTTTATAATTATATATATGTTAATCGCGATAATAATTATTTAATTTGAACATCCTACTGACGTATACCAATCATAATCTCTAGCAGGGAATATTTAAATTGATTTGAAAATGAGAAAAGCATTCATTTTCATTGGTTAATCTGCATTATATAGTTGACGATTATATCCTCATCACATCATTTTTTATTAATTTTCTCGTCTTTTCATTCATCATAGATTAATCATTGATCGTTGATTTATATGAAAACAACATGTTTGTAGACCCCTATCGGTTTAGATTAATAATTTATGATTTACTGATTTAGTTTCGTCGAATAAATGAATTTGAAGCGGAGAAAAAACGAGAAATTTCCCAATTTCTTCACGAAAAGTTCATAAAATGCAGAAAAATGTGTTAAGTTCTATATTTATTACGTGACTCGTAATTGTTGTAAATACAAATACAATACAAAATCGTTTCTTTTTTTTAGTTTCTTGGTGCGACCAATTGTCAAGTCCTATTACTTATTGATAATTATTACATAAATTACCCATAATTGATTACATCAATTAATTATTATAATTAATATAATTGATAGAAAAATATATAAATTGCTTAAATATCCAGGCGCATTTACTGGTTTATATGAATGAATATAAATCAATGAAGAGAGATATAAACGTGCAAGCGCCTTATTAAGAATCATATGTTTTAGAGAGTGAAGAAAAAAGCAGAGCTACACGATAAATAGATGGCTGTTTTTTTTGGCAAAAGTGATAGTGTGGATGTAAATAACTAATTAACGATTTAAGGTAATGGATTAGCAGCAAAGGACTGAACGATTTCCAGATGGATAGACCAACAAACTGCCCCATTCTTCATTATTAAATAAAAATAGAAAAAACATTAAAACTGGAATTTTCGAACTGTGATGATCGTTTGCATCTAACGATTAAGTTATGAGAGAGGCGGAAAATTGAGCAACGTCGATAAAAAAATCAACTCCAGATCAATCAATCAATTACTTCATTAATTCTGTGGCTGAAGTCGTAAAACGTAATAGATCAAAGTTGAAATTTCGGTCAATTTCGAAACCTCTTCAATCTTTTATTATTTTGTTGTCGGAGGACTTGCCCGTGAAATCATTTCACTTTCAATGAGATCTAAAGTTCTTATTTGCCACTTCGTCACTTGATTAATTGATTAATTAATTATAGCTGTGTGTTGAGATGAAAATGACCAGTTATTTTCATTTAATTAATTGGAGATGGAGCTAAGCTCAATCGATAATAAGGTATAAACAATTATGTGCAAAATAATAAATCGAAATGATTACAGTGTGAACATCATTGTCTTTACACAAATCGTTGATTCTCCTATGGAGGAAAAAAAATTGAGTACTAATAAAATATTTATGCGCGAGTTATGGAATGTGTGAGGAAATTATTATTGTATTTGCATAGCACTCAGAAAGAAAACTTGGTATACAATTTCTATATATGAAAATGCTCTATTTTACTAAGGATATTTTTGATATATATCTATATATAAATATATATATCGAATCATTAAAAGTAATTTGAAAATTTGATGGAATTCGATGGGAGAAAAGTGATGATAACACTAAAGTTGAGGAGAAGGAAGAATATGAGGGTTCCTAGATATCTCACCGACACTTATACATGTTGAGATTTTTTAATTGATTTAGTTTTTCCATCACTGCAAATTGGAAGAATAAAAAGATCAATGGACTAATGGGACTGTTGGGAGTTTTGAAGGAATTTGGGGTAGTTACATTTTGCGAATATTCTCTCTACTGTACGTACGACTGACAATGAAGATTATAAAGGAAGAGAGAAGGAGAAAGAAATGATAACAATGATTAACAAAAACGTAAGTTGAACTTTTGAGAATTCTATTTTTCTGCTGAAAGAGTTATAAGAAAAGAATAAATTGGGATGGAGGAAGATAATTGAGGATACTTTCAAGTGAAAAATTTAATTTTTTTGGCTTTATTTTCCCGTAACATGAACAAGACAATGAACTAATTGACACATAATTTTACGATTAATTTTCAAATCGAAGCGCTCTAGAAAACACGATTAAGTGCTCTTTAGGCCCTATTTGCTGGACTAAAGAAAAAAAAACATCTTTGAACCCATTCAATTCCAAGATGCTCAGCAAATAATACGTCAGAAATTGTAAAAAGAGAAATACATGAATGGAAAATGAAGGTTTCATTGACATTATTTCTTGAATATCTCTGGATCTACCAAGTTTAAAGATAAATGCCAAAAAATCTCTTTGGTAGGTCACAAAACTTTCTACGTAGAAGATTTTTCGTCATTTTTCTCTAAACCCAATGGTTTTATAGATGTTTACATAATAGTGTGACCGACATTTCTCAACATGTTATCACTATCGGCTCAGTGTTTGCAAAGTCAAATTCATTTAGGCTTTGTCAATCAATAAACCAATTTCGTCGGGTACTGAAATTGATTTTTAATTTTTTGACATTGCACAAAAGTTTCTTAGATTCATAAGAAGCATAAAAATAGAAAAAAAAATGAACATGAATCGAGCGTTTATAAGCAGAAGAGATTGAATTGGAGGATGCGGATTGAGAGAACGGAATTATATGATCAATAAACATACTTAATGTTGCTGAAAAGACACTATTGGAATATATTTGACCAGCAATTATCAAATTGATGTTATTTTTTAAAGAAGAAAAATTTAATAGACAGTCGTTACTATTCAATTGCTTATTGTTGATGATAATTAAGGACAAAAAACAATTTCTCCTCGATTTTTCTGAGCAAAACAAAACGAATACAGAAAATCACAGATTTATTTATCCACAAATTGCAAATTGAAAATAGCTAGGCGTAGCAAAGCGTATTACAAGTAAAAAATATTATGTTATTCAAATTAATAATTGATATGTTATCGCCACTATAATGCCTTTGTTTATTTTAATTATTTAGTGTAATAGCTGTTTAGGTTCTCTATTTTTTTGTATATATTCGCAGCACTCAATAAAAATTTTAAAAACACCACTTATCTATTAGTCCATTTACCTTTATGGAGTTGTTTGGTATCCTGTAGAATGACATTTATGTTCTTGAGATATCAGGAAAATCATGTGCAAATTATCCGATTGAAGCCTGTATCACCCTCTGAGACAAATTTGAAGGATCTACATAACTTATATTTGTTCTTAAGGATGTTTAACCATTTTTAGCAAATCGTATTTTTTCATGTTCAAGGAAAATTCTATAATTTTTTGGCTGATAGTTAAAAAAAATTGATCGCAATAGTCTCGTCAAAAATAAATGAACAAATTTTTCTTGAAGAAAAAGAAAATAATTAAAAGATTTGTTATCAACAAATGGATAAGCATACGGTGAGCAGAGTTGCTGGAAGTTCTAAAAGTTATGTCGAAAATAAAATGCAGATACAATTCTTAAACTGGACAGGTGATTTCAACAATTCTCTTTTTTTTTATAACGTCTTTATCTTGAAAATGGGCATTTTTGTCAAGAAATGTCAAGACTTTTCTAGTGAAAAATTTCTTCAGCAGAAAAACATTTCAAGATTTTGCGTTAAGAGAAATAATCAGCGCGATTATTTCGCTGTTTTACTGATACACATCAGCTTATTTTCAGTATTGTAGTTTTCTTCATTCGAAAATTCTCTCGGAAGCGAGTGATGTTTATTGAAAAAACTAATTGATCTCAAGCTAATCACACAATTATAATTCAGTATCGAAGCGTTAAACTGGTTTAAGTTGTTTTTGACTATTGGCCAGTTTTTGACGAATATCTCGGAATCTAAAAGTGGTAGAAATTTTTTTTCAATGACCTTTTGTGTAGAGCCAATTGGGGGTTATAAAAAAGGTCATGACAAAAAAAAATTGTGCTATCTCTCTTAGATTCTGAGATATTCCGCAAAAACTGACCAAAAGTCAAAATCAACTTAACCCGGTTTACCGCTTCACTACTGAAATATGATTATAATTTTGCCAGGAAAGGTATTCATAGGAAAAAAACTCACATTGCATTTTTTGTGCAATTTATTTGCATTTATCATTCTCGAATAATTGGTAACTGATTTGGATATCTAGTCTAAAATACTAACGCAACTTTATACATAACCATCTCCTTGTGTATTTCATTTTTCATATATACAAAAGTTTCATTTGGATAATTCTCTCCTCTGTGCGCCCAAAGATTTCCTCGCAACTCCCTATCCATCGTTCCACTTCTGCGGTCAATAATCTTTAGTTCTAAATTTAAATCTTCCAAATACATCATTATTATAAACTTTATTTACTTATTCCATTTACCTACCCAGTGAGTACAATTAACTAATCAATTAATTTTAAAAAACCAGGGAGAAGGATTTAAGAAAAAATTCTAAAAAAAAGACACCAGATAATAAAAAAAAATTGAGTACGTATGTATTTGAATACATACCTCTACTACTTACATAATCGCGTTTATATTCATTGATTTAATATTTATGAGTTGAGTGTTTGCTATTGAAAATTAATGGAACGTTTTGTCTGTTTCAAAGTGGCGGCATTCTGGAATCATCATCAACTATTATTTCAATAATTAAGCATTTTACCTTTCAATGTCAACTTTTTTTCAATAAAAATTTTAGCCACCACAAAAAATGTCTTTTTATTTTTTTTCGAATGGTCAATAATTAGCCCAACAATTAATCATAACTGCATATTTAGCAAAAATGTTCGACATTCAAAATTGACCATTTCACTTCAGATTCTAATTAACAGGATAATGACGACTCAACGAAATATAAATTACAGAGAAAAAAAATTAATTAAGGTTCTGTTTTCATAAATCTCCAATCAAGTAACTTGAGATTCCTTGGAATTTCATTTTATAACAATAATAATTATGGGATAAAAAAAAACATTATTTACAAGTGCACGATTTTGTGATGAGTCTTCTTTCTAATACGAGAGTACCAATCTGTTTCCTTCTCTTCTGTTCTGCCACCTAGTTGTTCAGTTTCTTCCGAAGTATCGAGTAATTTAAGCAATCACGAATAAAAACTGAATACTATTCACAAATTAACTCGATAGTGTTGGCGAAAGAAACATAATTCTTCAAGTGGAAAAATAATTCAGTTCTTCAGTGGTAAAACATATTGTGTTGCATTTAATAAGACTGTTAATGATGCAATTATTCCCGTGTTAAACTAGTGAAATGTAAGATTTTTTTTCTTCGCACTTGAAAAAATTTCCTCCAAAGGTTTTTTTATTGGTATTTTTCTCTAAAATCACGTATAATCGATACATACTACAAATAAACTTATAATTACGTTTTACCACTTTAATCTCAGATTAATCGACCAATTTTCATCAGCTGTTTCAACAGCCCCTGAGGTCTAAAATAATAATCTAATATGAAAAGTTATAAAACAATCCCACTTGATTAATTTAATTCTTCCAAAAGTTTCAATTTCTTCATTCAATCAATCAATTAATTAATTTTAGTATTAATTCGATTAAGGCAGTCTATCCTCCACTTGAACGATACTTTTCATCCTACAAACATGATAACATTCTCATGAATGATGTTTCCACTCCTCCAGTTGCCCTTGGTGCAGTCTTTCAATCATTCTCCAAAGGATTTCCCAATGATCCACATTCAAGATCATTGAACACGTGTAATTATCCATTTAAACGATACACTATTGATTTAATAATTTTCTCTAGGTCTCAAGTCCTGGTACAAGACTGTGGAAAGTCTGAATATCGTGAAAGGCTCTGCCACAGCTCTGATTGTTGTTTCTCTCGAATTTTGTCAAGTCAAAGTGCTCATCAAGTGTTTGCAGCTCTGCAAGTCTCTCCTCTAAACTTTTCGTGGAGTCTGTGAATCTCGAAAAATCACAAATTCGTTCTTCACAATCAATTTCCGTCGAGTCCATCATTATTGTTGGTTGTTGGTCGCATGGGAGTGATGACATATCATCGGTGATAAATAAACTATTGTTATTTGTGGTGTTGGTCATTCGTGGGCTCTCGTGACGGTTGTGATAGTTATCTAGAGTATTACTTGAATTCTCTTGAAGCTGGGGATCTTCTGGATGGGCGAGGAGGCGTGGGGTGGGTGGAAGGATGTAAAAGTCACTGAAAACATCGTCCTGAAGGTCCAGATCATCGTCGTGCCTCTGACGTTTGGAGGTAACTAGTTCAGTTCCTCGCATTTCTTCACCGAATCTGTTGACAAAAAATGAGAGAATCGATTAGTAACTTTGGAAATTGATGAGCATCTTTTTAAAAAAGCGGTTTACGAAGGTAATATCAAAAGTAAGTTTTTGCAGAAAATTTTCAGGCTTACAAAAGCGATCTCAAAACTATTTTGACTAAGCTTGTTAGTTTCAGAGAAGTAAAAAAAAAACCATATTATCAGTTATTATCGCATCGCTGTAGAACTCTGTACTTATGTCGCAAACGACAAAGTTTACAGGGAAATGTCAAGAGTCCTTTTTTGGGAGGAACGAAATTTTTTACATGAAATGCCTGTATAAGATAGTTCTTCTGAAGTAACTCATCATCACGATAATTGTACAATTATGAACGCCAGATATTATTTTTCAATTCAAGCTATTGTAGGGGAGAGTGGGGCAAAATGAAACAGTCAAAAAATCGACACAATTGTTTGACACAATTCAAGCAAAACAATTTTTTTTTAATCAAATATTTTTTGTGTCAACTTTTTTTTATTCTTGGGAGTCCTAATGAGAATAATAATTTTCCATTCAGTAGAATGGAAAATTATTCAGACATTTTGGTGGGCGAAGATTTTGTCAATGGATTATTCAATTGAAATTCAGCACCACATTTTCCTTTTTTCCCCCTCTGGGTCTCCACCTGGGCCCTGCTTTGGACTTTGAATTTTGCTGTCTACTGAATGGAAAATTATTATTCTCATCAGTACTCCCAAGAATAAAAAAAAGTTAATAAAAACAATATTTGATAGAAAAAATTTTTATATGATACGTGCGTGTAACCGCATGGGTTTCAGTTGACTATAGTCAACTGAAAGCCGAAATAACGCATGACGTGCATGCGCATCACCTATTAAAAGATAACAAGGAAGGAAATCTAACCTCCGAATAGTGAATACATGGAATGACTGAAAAATGAAAAGGTGATTTTCGAAGCAGATAAAATGAGCCAAAATCGTATAATTCCTGATAGTGATGAAGAGTTAGGCAGTGAGGAGAATTTATTTACTGATGAGCAGGAGTTTATTGGTGATGTGACATTTGAAGAAATTGGAAATAAAATATTCTCCGATTTTTCAATTACGTTTTGTATCATATTTTTTTATAATTATAACTTTCTTTTTTTTGCAAATTCTTAATGATTTTTAAAAATTGTATTTTGTAATTATTATAATTAATTTTTTTCAATTAAAAATACTTTACAAGTTTTTTGAACTACATATTTAATGAATATAATTAATTTTTTCTTCAGAAGTTCCGCATAATTTTTAAATCACACTTTTTTATAATTATTTTTTTAAATAAATGTGATCTTTTTTCTTCAGTGGGGGGGGGGGCTTCGCCCCCCCCCCCCCCCCCCCTCCGGCCCCAGACTTCATCACGCACTTATCATATAAAATAGTATACGCAACACGTGCGGACAGCAGGCGGTCTCACTCGGGCGGCTGCGCCGCCCTCGTGAGTAACCGCCTGCTTTCCGCACTAGTTGCGTAATGTACTATTTTGCTTCAATTGCGTCAAACAGTCGTTTATTTGACTGTTTCATTTTGCCCCACTCACCCCTACCACTTATTGAATTAATTCTATAAAACATCCGAAGTTTTATTGAGTAAGCTTTAGCAGATGCACTCACCGTTTTTTGGATATATTTTCAGACTCCATCATCATGTTTCCACTAGCCTTATTCTCTTTTGAGGAATCGTCTAAGTATCCCACCATTGGCAAACCATAATTCCTTGTCTTTTCGTCTCTGTTCTCACGTTGAAGTCGTCTGACTGCGTTGTTTATTAGGACGGAGCGGCAAAGACTGGCCTCAGGATCTTCGATCCTCCTGAGTTTTCCAGCGGAAATTTTTAGAAGACGTCTGCGCTCTTCTCTAGCGCGGTACTTCGCTGAAATCATTGTTGGACGGCTTCTGCGGATCACCAAGTCTTCCTCCAGTCGCATCTTGACGTCTGTAATCAATTAGAAAAACAAGCAATCAATTTTCAGATATTTAAAATGATTTTAATGAAATAAAAAGATTCCTTTGTGATTTCTTTTTATCTAATAATTTAAATATTTCAAGAACGGGAATGTTGAGAAAAAAATTCACAAGATCTTTTTCAAAACTCATAAAAGTATCTGTCTACTGCTTTCTTTGGAAAATCTTCGTAGATTGATTTGAATCCATTTTCATTTGGTATTATCTACTTTTAGCGTAGAATCCGCAACTGCATGTTGAAAATGTGGATTTGAGGATTTTTTAGGAAGGAAATAAGAGATGTAAGAAACATTACTCGGCTGCAAGCGTTTATATTTATAGGAGATGGTAGAAAGAAATAACGCGAAGGGTGCAGTGCCCTCGTTCAAGTATTTGGATGAAGATGAGGATGAAAGAAAGAGTGGGGATAAGAGGACGCGTGAACGCCTCTTTACTCCCTCGAGTCACTTTGCTGCACGTTGTTTCTCAACGGTAAGATGTATCCGGCCTGTGCGGGTTGCCGGATGTACGAGAAAAGAATGAAGCGATGGAGTGAGGGGAGCGGGCGGAGTGATTAACGGGGGGTGAGAGTTTCCTGTACGCGTGCCACGAGCGGATGACAAAATTTCAAGAAATTTTCGGAAATAATTTGACAATTTTTCAAGTATTAAGCAGTTCACGAGTAATGAAAAAGAAAATTTTCGTTTTTGACGAATCGTTTTCCCAAGTTTATTTCAAAGAAAGTTTATTTTCAAATAAAACATCGAAAATGAAGATTTCGTGACGATTAATTTGTAAATATTGTCGAAATGAGCCGAAATAAGGTTCGCAATCTCGCTCGTAGGTATGAAAATTCCCCACATAGAGATGTTGGGATTAAGAAAAGGAATAATAACTCTTATTAGTGGATTCAATCTATCTTCGAACCTTCATTCACTCGCACGCTCCCTAATCGTGTCAAGTTTTGCAGGAAAATCCCTCGCGCAAGCGCTCGGGACTTTTAAACCTGCAAAACTTGACACTTTTGTTTGTTTACAATGAAGTTATCGGGAAATACCCTATAATTTTTAAACACTCGGGGTATTACTACTGAATAAAAATTGAAAGCCAACGATAGCTCGGTCGGTAGGGCGAGCGTCTTCTAATCCGATGATTCGGGTTTGAAACCCAATGGGTGCCGATCGGGTTTCGAACTCCCAGAAATCAAACGTTGTCCGCATTTCTTTGGGAAATGACCTTGGGATTTCTGTACACAAACATTGGACAATGGATACAAAAAATGAGAGCGCAATGAAATCAAAGGTTCCGAGTGGGGATGAGAATAAACAATCGATTTCTCGGAATTCAGTTTTCATACGAGCCATAGAGTTGCCTCAATAATAACCGTTTGATTAGTCCTCATCACACACTTGAGTGCTGAACATCTCACACGGTTCATTACAGTATCGTTAACAGAAATTCTCCGACGGTTATTCTCCTGTATTTATTCTCCATCAACTTTAATCAAGGTAAGTGATGGTATAAAATATTTCAGTAGTGAAGTTGTAAACTCAATCGATCATTATTATTATGTTTTTCCCTTTTTTTGAATGATCAGAACTGTTCTTCATTCCTATTCCACAAGATGCCGCATGCTGAAAGATGTGCAAATCCAATGCGAGTTCCTGGGGAGAAAGGTCACAATGGAAAAGACTTGTGTTCAATCTCAGAAAGACTACGACAGACATTTCCATTCTTGCCAGAAAATGCAAAACTATGTAGCTCCTGTAGGAAAAGAGCTTTGACTTACATTCCTCGATCACTACCCTCTGAATCTTCATCGAATCGGGAAGTCTCTTCATCGTCATCAAATGTTCCAACCGATTGTTCGTCCAGTGCCACACCATTTCTAGTAGACATTTCTACGAGCAATATCGCAGGGAGTTCTTTGAGATCAGGTAATTCCTTTCATTCAATTGATCCTGATGGGGATGTGATTTTCAAAGAAGCTTCAGAGGAGTACGATGCTCCAACACCAGATGATGATTCAGAGACAGAGCACCACAGGAACATTCCAGCAAATTTTCGTTCTCCACGAGAATTAGAATTGAAAGAAATGTTGGATGGACTCAAGCAAGAATTCAAGACGATGACAGAATATTCTGAACGTATTCAACTCTTGACTATTGCTCCACCNGCCGATCGGGTTTCGAACTCCCAGAAATCAAACGTTGTCCGCATTTCTTTGGGAAATGACCTTGGGATTTCTGTACACAAACATTGGACAATGGATACAAAAAATGAGAGCGCAATGAAATCAAAGGTTCCGAGTGGGGATGAGAATAAACAATCGATNGAGCCGTAAATTTGGTACGACAAGATACATGGCTATGAGAGCAAAACAACTGCATGAACAGAGAGGAATATTTGCTTCAACAGTTGCGAAGGCTGGGAAATCATTGCCCAAAGAGACAATTGAAAAGGTCCGGAGTTTTTATGAGAGTAATAGTCGAATGATGCCAGGGATGAAGGATAAAGTGTCAGTCAGAATCAGCGACGTGAAGAAAATAATGCAGAAGCGGATGGTCCTCGAGAACTTGAAAGATCTTCATGAGAAATATAAAATTGCTCATCCAGAGTCTCCGGTGGGATTCAGCAAGTTTGCGTAATTGAGGCCGAAATACTGTGTAGTGGCAGGAGCGGGTGGTACGCACGTGGTATGTGTCTGTACCTATCATCAAAATTGTAAGCTGATGTTGGATGCAATCAACATTTCTACTCTCACTAAAAACTCATCATGTCCTCTTACGGACTATAAAGACTGTCTTGCAAGACTCATGTACCCTAATCCAATGCCTGAATGCCATTTAGATGAGTGTAAAAACTGTCCTGGAGTTGAAGGATTATTGCTCGAGCTGAAAGAACTCCTCCACGATGCTGTGATTGAAACTGTAGAATTCAGGACTTGGCAATCTGTGGATAGAACAACATTACAGACCCAGAGACTTCTAGTGTATGAATTTGTTGATGTACTTTGTGAGAGATTGAAAGTATTGAAATCTCATCATTTTATTGCCGCACAACAAAACGCTTTCGTGAGAGAACGAAAGGGGAATTTAATTGAGCGTGAAATTCTAGTGCAGGCCGGTTTTTTGGAGAATTATTCTTTCGTAGCTCAAGATGCTGCTCAATCGTTCCTTTACAACGATGATCAATGCACTGTCCATCCTGTGGTGTATTATTATCGCCACGGCAATGATATTCGACATAGAAGTCTAGTCCTCTTATCTGACAGTCTCGTTCACGATACTACTGCAGTTCATTTAATGCAACAGATTCTGATACGACACATAAAACAAGTCTGTGCTGTCGTAAACAAATTGATCTATGTTACAGATGGTGCTGGACAGCACTATAACAATCGATATAACATGGCTAATCTTTTGTTGCATAAAAATGATTTTGGAGTTGAAGCAGAGGCGCACTATCATGCGACCGCGCATGGAAAGACGGCATGCGATGGCGTAGGCGCAGTCTTAAAGAGGGAAGCAAGACGAAGAAATCTGCAAATTACTAATGGTGAACCTATTCTCACTCCAGATGGTCTGTTCCAGTGGGCAAAGAATAATTTCAAGGATCTCGATGTGTTTTTCTATACTAAACAGGAACACGAGGATATGAAAGAACGGTTGAAAACAAGATTCGACAGTGCAAAGGCGATTCCAGCGAGACAAAAAAATCACGGCTTCATTCCTGTGGGAGAAAAGGAATTATTGATTAAGAGATATTCTTCTGCGAATACGGGAGAAGTTTTTCCAAAGGCGAAGAAACGAAATGGACGACGTACATTAAGATAGCCATTGTGATTCAGAAAAGTTCGATTTCAAATTGCTTTTCCCTATAATTTAATGTTTATTTTTCAAATTACAAACTTAAAACAGACATATACTCCATGTTGATCTAAAAACTCATCAAATATTTGGTACTTTGCGAATTCTTATTGTCGTTTACGTAAGTAAAGCTGTTAATAATCAATAAATTCAACTTTTTTCTATAAAAAACATTTTTTATCCATCACTACTTATGCATCTCATCTTCAAATTATGTCTAAAAATTGCATGCTCATCCTTTCATGAGCCATTCATCATTTTTCAGGAACAAAATTCGGAAAATCTAATTTTTCATGAGAAAAAAAAATTTCTCTCATCTCCATATGGCTATTCCATTTCGAAATACCCCGAAAAAGTTGAGTAATATCATTATCCATCGAAGAAAAAAANTCTAAAAATTGCATGCTCATCCTTTCATGAGCCATTCATCATTTTTCAGGAACAAAATTCGGAAAATCTAATTTTTCATGAGAAAAAAAAATTTCTCTCATCTCCATATGGCTATTCCATTTCGAAATACCCCGAAAAAGTTGAGTAATATCATTATCCATCGAAGAAAAAAAAATTATTCGATTTTCGAATGGCCCCTGCATAACAGAACGATTTAAATAACAAAAAACTTGAAAAATGACTCATTATTCTTCCTCGTGGTACTGTCGTATTTTTATTCCAAAAGTATATGAAAAAACGAAAAAAATCTTTTTTTATTCATCAAAATCGGCCAATTTGTTCGCAAGATATGATTTTTCAAAAATTTGAGCTTTTGTTATTTGTCCTGGCCAAACAATTAATGTTAAAGGAGCGAAAATTTAGAGAAAGTATGTACTCATGTAGTACTTGACTGGGAGCATGCTAATTCAAGATTCTGAGAACCAAAAAATTCCAGGGTGGTTGAGTTGACATGAAATGTCCCATATACATATAGTAAAATGAACTGTGTAGAGATTGATTTTTTAATAATATTTAGTTTCATGACATCCAATTTATTTACAGATTCTTTACGACGTTAAAAGTTTCTTGAAATTTTTTTAATATATGAAGAAACAATTGTACCGCATTGAAATAAAAAAGAATGAGTTGTGAAGGTGCTCGACTCTATTTTACGGTTGATGTGAGAGGCCGG